CTCGGGGACCGTACTTTTGTGCCGCTTTTGGGTTTTGCTATTAAGACAAGTGGAATCTTTTAAACTGGTTATTCTTGCTAATTTTCTCAAAAAAATCGTTATTTGTAAGGGGGAGCTTTGCGCACAATTACCTTTTTTTTTTTTAATGCATTGTTTAATTACAAACTTCCTATTCGTAAGGAGTCTGCCATTATTATTTTTGTTGTTAAGTACCGTTTCCTGAATTTTTTATACTTTCGATTGTCTGCAAGACGAAGGACAAGAATACGAAAGAGGGCATAAAAATCTGAATCAAATCTGTGAAGCAAATCAACGAGGGCAATGAAGTTAAACAGAATTTAGCAACGTTCTTTTAGTATCAAATGAGACAAGCAGAATGACGCAAAAGAGCATCAGAATTTCTAGAATAAGCCACGTAAAAAGTTCTAATTTAAAAAAAAATCATTTATTTTTCTTGACATTCGTCAGATAACATTACCGTATTCCTTCTGCCGTACCTAAAGAAATTTAGTCACCAGACCTACAATGAGTTCTTCTGCTTGTATGAGGTACCATTACATTTTCTCCTAAATTTACCGCGGCAAAGAAACTTTCTTCTAAGCAATAATCAAGGCTATCACATTAATTAAGTTAAAAGGTGTACGTAAATAGTGCAGCTACATTTACACCTCTGCTAAAATCCAGGAAGGAAAGGGCCTAAAAACGACGATTTTTCAAAACCAAAAGACAAGACATTCATAAATAGCACAGCATCGGAAACACGTTAATTGAACACGTAACGCAATTCACAAAGGTTGATAGCGTATCTTCTACGCATTCCCGCAAAAAACAGTTACAATGCATCAAAGCTGTTTGATTTTTTCTAAAGTAAGGCGTGTTACTCTTAGAAATTTTCAAAACAAATTCCGGGTCAACTACTCTGTAGGCTTACATTATACATATTATATCTGTATTACATACTATACGTCATACAGTACATATTACTTGTGTTATGTTTTATAATATATGCTATACATCATACCATATATTATACATCATATATATCATATTTTACGTGTGTTATATATATTCTGAGTATTGTACATCTTACATGTGTTGTATATTACGTATATTATACATATATATTAATCGTATTGAATAATATATGTAGTATATGTAATATATATATA